TAGCTAAGAAATTGAGGACTCCAAAGCCCCAGAGGTAGAAATTGGCAGAGTTGTAGTTCCCACTTAGGCAGTAGACCCCACAGCCAGCGGACCATGCCCTGAGCAGAATGGAGTGACTATACACCAGACCCTGGCCCACTGACCGTGGTACCATCCACTGCCACATATACTTTGCTGCGACTTGAGTACACCTCTACGTCCAGGACCCGCCGGGGACCGCTGCCTCTGCGCCTTGGGGGCTCCAGGCGGCCTAGGGCCTCATCTGTGGGGTGCAACAGGTCATGGAGATAGTCTCCCCAGCAGAGTGTCACCCGTTGGGGTCTGTGTGCCACCCCAGCTGTGAGATCCAAGGCCCTCCCACCCCATCCTCAGCTTGGCCCCACCATAGTCTTGCTCTGGCTCTGGGTCTTCATTGGCTTCGCTGATGGCTCGCCGAGTGTCCAGGATCAACTTGATATTGACAATGACAGTCACGAGCAGGAAAAGAACGGCCCCTGTCTGAGGGGAGGGGTAGGGATATTAAGAGGAGCACCTCCTTCAGCTCCTAGAGGATCTTTCTGAAAGGAGGGCCCTGGCTGCAGTGAGGACATCCAGAGAACCTAGGACCTGTCTCTTCCTCTGTCTGCCCAGCTCTACTCCCCTGACCAGGGCCTAGTTTCACAGCCACCTTCCCCAAGGAACCTCCCCTGACCCTTCCCCCTCCATTATGGCCCTCCCTACCCAGTGCTCCTGTATTCTTCCATTTGAGACCTTGATTTCCTTGGTCCTCTCCATTGTTGGTTTCTAGAGATAGAGCCAGGCCCAGAGAACCAAGCTGGGAATCAGACCTGGGTCCTAGCCCTAACTGCCTCACAGGGGTGTGTGCCTCTGGGCAAAGCTGTCCTGATCAGACTTCAGGCTTCCCGTTCAGAAGCTTAGAAGTTGTACTCGGGTTCTGATTCCAGAACTCTGGGTTCAAACCATTACCTACAGGGACAAGACATATAGAGGGCTACCCTCTAGGAACCTGCTGCCCCTTTCCAGCTGGGGCCGGCCAAGGTAGGTCCCAGTGCCTGGTTTAGGTAGGGAGGAAGCTGGGAGGGAGCCCTCCGTGGAGAGGGTTTGAGATATCGCTATACCTGACAGAATCTCCGCAGAGCCCGCTGGTTTGTCAGTTTATACTTCCAGGTAAGGTACCAGCTCCGCTTCTTCCGAGCCCCAAAGGGCTTGATGAGGGGGCTGGGCTTCCAGTCGTCCATGCCGGATTGGCGGGTCACCAATGTCCTGGGCGGCCCATGACTTCAGGAATCTGATGGGATCAAAGGGCCACATAGGGTAAGGTGGCTGTCCCAAAGTCTGATGCTTTCTGGAGAGATGAGGGAGGACCTCCCAGCAAGTCTTCCCTGCAAGCACCCATACTGTGTGACACGGAAAAAGTGGTTTAACTTCTCTGGGCCTGGCAAGAAACCCTTCAAAGGGGTTGGATCACCTGGAAATTCCCTGAGACTGGAGTAACTCTCTGAATCAAGGCTGTCCAGGGGTGGAGGCCAAATAATCGGCTCAAAGTTCATTAGCCCCTACAAGGACCAAGCTCCAGGCCTCCCCAAGCCTGTGGTGGGCAAAGAGCGACCTCTCCTGCCTCAATCCTCCACCCTCGTCCCATCCCAGCTGGCCCAGCTTCTCTCCTCCCAGGGCCCGGAGCCGCCCAAGGGCTCGGGAGACCTGCACCGTCAGCGCTATCCCTCCCGGACCTCCACGCGGAGGCACTCACGGCTTAGGGGCCCCGGGCCCCACTCGGGCCCCGCTCGGGCCCGCACTGCTTGCCCCTGCGCGCCGCGGCCTCCGCCTCCTCCATGCCGCTCGCGGCCCCGCCCCGGCCCGGCCAGCCCCGCCGCTTCCGCCGCTTCCGCCGCCGCCGCTGCCGCGGGGTGAGAGGGCGACGGGCGGCGCTTAGGGCGGCGGTGGCGGCAGCGGCAGCGACTGGGTGTCCGTAGCCAGGGAGTAAGGAGAGTGCTCAGACCTTGCTCCGCAGCTTCGCAGCCCGGCTGGCTGGTGCTGCTGCCTGTACGAGAGCAGCCCGCTCCTCCGCACCGCTGATGGCAAACCCAACTCCAGTCAGAGGCCTAGGACCTTAGACCTAGATCACAGCGCACGCCAGGGTCAGAGGGGCTGCAAGCCTTGGGCACAGCATACACACCACCCGCCCCTTACCCCTCCTGGGCGAGGCCGGTACCTGGGCCTGGGGCATGCACAGCCATTGGAGGCCAAGGGAGATTAAAATCTAGGTTCTGCCGCTGTGCTAAGCAGTTTACTGATGACGTTTAATTCCACAGCAACCCTACGAGGTAGGCGCTATTATCATTATTTCATTTTTTTTTCAATTGAGATGGAGTCTGGCTCTGTTGTCCAGGCTGAAGTACAGTGGCACCATCTTGGCTCAGTGCAGCCTCCGCCTCCTGGGTTCAAGCGATTCTCTGGGTTCAAGCGATTCTCCGGCTTCAGCCTCCTGAGTAGCTGGAACTATGGGCGTGCACCACCACACCCGGCTAATTTTTGTATTTTTAGGAGACGGGTTTCACCATGTTGGCCAGGCTAGGTCTGGAACCCCCAACCTCAGGTGATCTGCCGGCCTCGGCCTCCCAAAGTGCTGAGATTACAGCCGTGAGCCACTGCGGCGGATATAGGCACAATATTATTATCCCTGTCACAGATAAAGAAATGAGACCCAATGTCACAAAGCTGAGAGAGGTGGAATTGAAACCCAGCCTGGCTCCGGATTCTGCTCTTAACCACTCACTGCACTCTACTGGCAACAATACTTAAGAGTTGCCACGTTTAAATAACATCATACATAGAAAGCGCCTAGCTTAACACAATGGTTCTCAAACTTTAGATTGCATCAGAATCACCTGGATGACTTCTTAAAACAGAGGTGCTGGGCCAGTCCCTAGAGTTTTAGATTCTGTGGTCTGGGGCAGGGTGGGATTTTGCATTCCTAACGAGTTTCTACCTGATGTTGATGTTTGTTTGAAGTCAGTGGGTAGTCATAGAACAGTTTTAAGCAGGGGAGAAATATAATTCAATTTATATTTTAAGAGAATCTTTATTTGTGGAGAATGGTTTGAAAGGAGACGGAGGAAGCCAGAAGACCAGTTAGATTTTTTTTTTGAGCTTTCCATATTCCATCTGCTTCCTGAGTGGTGGGGTGATATCCCCCACAATGTTAACAGTACTTGTCTCAGTAGTTAAAGAAATAGATGATTTTTCCTAGTTAAGTATGTATAAGAATAGAAAAAACCCAATACATTTTATTAGCATTTGAAAAATATGTGTTGGCTGGGCACAGTGGCTCACGCCTATAATCCCAGCCTGTAATCCCAGCAGTTTGGGAGGCTGAGGTGGGCTGGCCACTTGAGGTCAGGAGTTTGAGACCAGCCTGGCCAACATGGTGAAACCCCATCTCTACTAAAAATACAAAAGTTAGCTGGGTGTGGTGGCGAGCTCCTGTAATCCCAGCTACTCAGGAGACTGAGGCAGAAGTATCGCTTGAACCCAGGAGGCAGAAATTGCAGTTGAGATCGCACCACTGCACTCCCGCCTGGGTGACAGAGCAGTAGTCTGTTTCAAAAGATTAAATTAATTAATTAATTAAAAGCTGTCCCTTAGGGTTTCTTCCTGACCCTCTTTTCTCCTCAAACTCACTCTTCATGGATGATGTCATTCTCTCATGACCTCTGTTACCAATCTAGATTCCCAAACTGACATTGGCAGTTCTAACCTCTTTCCTGAGCTCCAGGCTGCCTGATGTCCAGCAGGGCATCTTCATAGCCCCCTCTGACACACCAGCACAACTGCTGGAATCATTTCCTTTTACTCCTAGATCTCTTGAGGGTTCCCCTCCTCAGTGAACTGCACCAGGCCAAAGACCTGGGAGTCACCCTTGACTTCTCATCTGTCTCCAATGACCAGTCCAGGTATGTCTTCCTCACCATCGTATTCTCTACACCACACACAAAGGCTGGCACGTAGTAAGCTCTCCATAACATTTGTTGAAATCATTCATTTGTATTTTTTAACAAATTTTTATTGAATGCCACTATAACTGAATGTAGACAGTCACCTAGTCCTGTCAGTCTTACCTCCTGAAGAGCCTTCCATTCTAGTCTAATTCTCCAGCCTCACAATCAGCCCTTGGTGTAGGCCATTTCAGTTTCTTGCTTTCCAGTCAGTCTCCTTGATTCTAGATTTTTACCCCTCCCATTCATTTCTCCTTGCAAAATCCAGAATGATTTTTTTTTTAAAGGCAAATGTTGCTGGGTGCAGTGGCTCATGTCTGTAATCTCAGCACTTTGGGAGTCCAAGGCAGGCAGATCAACTGAGGTCAGGAGTTTGAAACACACCTGGCCAACATGGTGAAACCCCATCTCTACTAAAAATACAGAAATTAGCTGGACGTGGTGGTGGGTGCCTATAGTCCCAGCTGCTTGGTAGGCCAAAGCAGGAAAATGGCTTGAACCAGGAGATGGAGGTTGCAGTGAGCTGAGATCATGCCACTGCCCTCCAGCTTGGGTGACACAGTGAGACTCCTTCTCAGGAAAAACAAACAAACAAAAAAAAAACATATATATATATATTGCCAATGGGGGAAAGGAACTACAGAGTGTGAGTGAAATCCATATATCCACATTTATCTGAATAGGATAATAAAGAGCAGATGAATATTTAAAATTGAGAAGTAGCGTGGCTGGGCATGGTGGTGCACTCCTATAGTCAGCTGCTTGGGAGGCAGGAGGAGTGCTTGAGCCCAGGGGTTTGAGTCCAGCCTGGGCAATATAACAAGACCCTGTCTCTAAAAAAGGGGAAAAAAGCAGTGGTAGGATTTACAATGAGAAGACAGTTACTCCTACCCTACCCTTTCACACCTCTAGGCCCACTCCCAATTGGCAACCACTTTTAGTTAACTCTAAACACTAAAGTTACGGATACGAACACCAAAAAAATAAATAACAAAGTTATTTTTTGCCTATTGGGAGTGGGCCTAGAGGTATGAAAGGGTAGATAGAGCAGGAGTAACTATCTTCTCATTGTAAATCCTTCTGCAACCATGGACTGGAATTTCTTGAATTAAAAGACCAAACAAACCAAAGTTTTCATGGCTGTTCACTGCCTGTTAAATAAAATCCAAACATCTCAGAACCATCTTCTGTAACCTTGTTACTCAAAGTGTGGTCCCTTATTACTTGAAGTGTGGACCAGCAGCATGGCCATCACCTGAGAGCTTATTAGAAATGCAGGATCTTAGCCAGGTGCAGTGGCTTACATCTGTAATCCCAGCATTTTGGGAGTCTGAGGCAGGTGGATCATTTGAGGCCAGGAGTTCAAGACCAGCCTGGCCAACATGGTGAAACCCTGTCTCTACTAAAAATACAAAAAAATTAGTCAGGTGCGGTTGCATGCCTGTAATGCCAGCTACCTGGGAGGCAGAGGCAGGAGAATCGCTTGAATTCAGGGAGGCAGAAGTTGCAGTGAGCCGAGATCACGCCACTGTACTCCAGCCTGAGTGACGGAGCCAGACTCCTCTCAGAAAAAAAAGAAAAGAAAAAAATGCAGGCTCTCAGCCACCACCCCAAATTTACAAAATCAGAATCTTTATTTTAACAAGATCCGCAGATAATTCATATGCAGTCAAGCTTAAGGAGCATCTTGCTTATAAGCCCAATGTGGACCTCTTCAGCTTCGATAGTGGTTGCCCCTTTCTACTCCGTTAGTCTGAATTCTAGCCCCTGCGGTGTGTGTGTGTCTAGCTAAAATCCAGCTGCCGTTTTAGAGCTAGTTCCTCTGCTCCAGGAAGACTTCCAAGCCCTCTGCAGCTCTCTGTTACCACTGTTCCTTAAACTCCCACATCTCTGACTGACTGAAGCTGCTTAGGCTTCATTCTGCAAACATGTATTGGGCGCCTGCTGTGTGCCTGGCTGGATTCAGTGCCAGGATGGGGTGAAGGCGCTGAGGTCTCCGAGTGCTCTTTCAGGTTCAAATCCAGAATCGCCCAGCCCCACGCAATCCGGGGCCAGAGGTTGTGCGCAGCACTCGAATATATATCTACAGGCGGTGCTGCGCGGCTTTTCTCAGTGTTACGGCGCCCTCCTCCCACCCCCGCACCGTGCGGGCGGGGACCCACGGTTTCTGCTCCGCATTAGCTTCGGCGAAGGGAGGACCACCGGGAGCTGGTCCCGGGCGTCAGGTCGTCCGGCCCTTTTCAGGCTTGGGCCCGCATGGAGGGTACCGTGGAGTCCCAGACGCCTGATCTGCGGGATGTGGAGGGTAAGGTGGGCAGGAAGACCCCTGAAGGGCTGCTCCGCGGGCTGCGAGGCGAGTGTGAGCCGGGAACCTCTGGCGCCCTGCTGCTCCCAGGGGCGCCTAGCACCGGCCACGGCTTGGGGGACAAGATCATGGCGCTGAAGATGGAGCTGGTGAGTGCAGACTCCATGGACCAAGGGGACGAGTCCCCAGTGTAGGGCCGGGAGGGACAAACTCACGCTCCCAAGTTAGGCTGGAGAGGAGGTAGTTAAAACTCTCCATCTAACTGCTCAGAATCCCTCCCAGATCAATCAGTAAGCGCTGGGGTGGAGGTGGAGTGACGTCCATTAATTGTCCCCCAAGAGTGAGTGGGGTGTTGATGGGTCCTGAGGACTTGGGGTGGGAGACAATGGTTCTTGGAAGTTATTCCTGCCAAATAATTGGGAGGAGAGAGATGAGGACGGAAATACCGAGAACCCAACGCAGCACAAATTCCCCCCGCCCGTCTGGGCCACCTTTTCCCCGCCAGTCCCCGTTGTAAGGCAACCAGTTTTTTCTCCTGCTAACCTGGAAAGGGTTTAGTTTCTGTGAGACCGCAGTGTTCAGCACAGGGTTAAGGGGTATATCTGCTGAAAACTACCTGGACTAGGAGCATTGAAAACCTCCTCCGTTTCCCCTGCATCTCCCAGCCCTACTTAAAATAATGGAAAGTTCTTAAACCTATAGCAGGGACAGAGAGTAGCAGCACCATTGGTGCCGATTCCCTCACCTCAGACTCAGTCTCCTCCCAGCCAATCTCCCAGGTAAACTGGATATTTGGATCTCATCTGTACATTCTTAGGGAGAAGAGGAAACAACAACCCTCCACTCTCTCTGTTTCTGCTGGTCTAGATTCAAAGCCAAAAGGGCAGCTGGGGCCCTGGCAGGCTCCCCAGAGCCCTGATTCCCATGAAGTAGGTGATTTATACCTGCCACTACTTTGCATCCAGCTCTGGGGAACTGAGGAATTGCCATTGGCTCCCTGGCTCACAGCCAGGAGCCCACGGTGAAGTTCCTCAGCTAATAAGTCTTACTGGAGCCCCCACTGTGTGCCCAGCCTGTGCCAAGCTGGTCTGTGAAGCATCAGGAGAAGGAAGTCATGGAGGTTCTGAGACCAGCAAGGGCTCTGATGCCTGAGCTGAGAGGCTGGGAGGAGAGTCTGGTGGGTGGAGCAGTCAGGGAAGGCCCCCTGGGAGAAGGACATGAATGCCAAGTGTGCACTTGGCCTTGAAGGTTGGAGGTGAGTGCCAAATTCTCCAGAGCAAGGCTGTGACTGTACTCACCTAAGCGGGGAGAGTGGGCTTGGCTTTGCCTCATTGTACAAACTTTAGCTCAAGGCCCTATCTAGACTGTCTAGTTGTTTTGAAAACTAACTTTCACCCAGCACATGTGCCAGGCAGATTGCTGAGCACTTTACATGATACTCTCTTCATCTCCACAGTAACCCTGTTAAGTAAGTGATATTTTATAGATGAAGAAACTGAGGCACGGGGTGGGCATGGTGGCTCACGCCTGTAATCCCAGCATATTGGGAGACTGAGGCAGGCAGATTGCTTGAGCCTAGGAGTTTGAGACCAGCCTGGGCAACAAAGTGAGGCCCTGTATCTATAAAAATACAAAAATTAGATGGGCATTGTGGTGCATGCCTATAGTCCCAGCTACTCTGGAGGCAGAGGCAGGAGGATTGCTTGAGCCCAGAAGGAGGAGGAGGTTGCAGTGAGTTGAAGTCGCACCACTGCATTCTGGCCTGGGTGACAGAGCTCAGAGCTAGATCCTGTCTCAAAAAAAGAAAAGGAAGGAGGGAAGGAAGAGAGGACGGAAGGGAAGAAAAAAGAAGAGAAAAGAAAAAGTAGAGGGACAGCGAATTTAAATGACTACCCACAATCATGTAAAAAGCAGGGCCAGGATTTGAACCCAGATCTGCAGACTGCACTTTACATCTTTATCTTTGAGACCTACTTTGTGCCAGATATTCTAAAGACATTTTATGTCATGGAAATGAGAAAACTGGCCATCATTTCTCCCATCTTGCAGATGAAACATTCTTGCAGATTTTGGGGGTTTGTTTGAACTCACATAGGGAGTCACTGGAAGAGCCACGCCTAGTCTCTCTGGCTCTAACTCTTTTCTGCCTTGGTGGAAACTATCTGTAAACTTTAAGGGGCTGCATTTAACTTCTGATTTTGTCTCTGTATTCTTGACCCAGCTTGCCTGGGGCCTGAGGCTGCCCGAGGAAGGATACAAGGCAGGGAGCCTTCTGGGGCCAGAACAAGGAGAGATCCCCACCCTATTTCTTCTCCCTCCTCAGGCCAGGATGTTATTAATATTAATCTCCTTCTGTGCTCTGCCCTGCCTACTGGGTTGCACCCAGGAAGGACAAGGGGTGGGGCAGAGGATTTTCTTTGGAGCCACTGAAGGCAGGCCTGGTTCAAGTCCTCTAAGGCTGTCCTTCAATTGTTCCTCTCCCAGCTCTCCTTGCACAGAGGCGAGGCTGAAGGCCTACCCTTGAGGCCAAGGTCAGTCCTGCCACTAGGCCTGTTCTCTCCTGCTTTCTTCCTCTACCCCCCATTCAGAGGTTAAGTGAACAAGCCAGACTGGGATATGTGGGAATGGGAAACAGTAGCAACTTTTCTTAGTTCTCCCACCCAAAGAACTGTTGCTATGACAACCCGCCTCTACAGAGGCAGTTTGAGAAAAAGCTTTAGGCAAGGAAGGAGAAGGCACAGGTTCAAGTCTTGGCTCTGCTTCTGAAACATTTTGTGGTCTTGAGCAGGACTTTGTCTCTCTCCTGGCCTCAGTTTTTCTTCCTCTTAATGGAGGGAGTAAAGGGAGGTGGGGATTGTGGAACCAAATGATCATAAAAACCTTTGTAGTAACGATATTCTGATAGTCCCTGATCTGGGAGCTAGGACTGGGTTCTCCAGGCTTTTGGGCTTAATTTGGATTGAGCAATGAGGAAACCATAAAGGACCTCAGCGCTGGGCAGAGAGTCTGATACGTAGATGTTAAGGAGAGGAGTAGGGAGCCTGAATCTCCTTGGAAGGAGAATTGGGTTTGGAGTCGCCTCTAAGGCTGCATCTCTCCTGAGCTGTTTATCCTATACTCTATTTTCTTCAAGAGGTGGTGTAAAAAGAGTGTTTCTTTTTCTGGCAAGAAAGCCTTGCTTTCTTCTATTCTGGGAATGATGCTGTCATAGGGAATCCCACTGTCACAGGATTATAGAATCTGCTCTCAGATTTATTTCCCAGCAACACAGTACAACCCAGACCGCTGAATCCTGAGAATCTTCAAAGGGGTCAAGGATAGTAAAGGCAAGAGAATCACAGAACTGGATGTGACCTGCTTAGCCCTAAGCAGAGCACCAGAAATGGACTGGGTGGGATCTGCTCTCAGGGAGCTCACAGGCTGGTTAGGGAAGGAGGGAGACAGATAAACATTTCTAGTACAGGATAGTAAATGCTGGTAGAACCCAGGAAGAGCCTCGTAGAATAGTCTTGACTATAGAGTGATGTGGTTGGGTTTGTGGTCTGGAAAGGTGACTTCTTTTTTTTTTTTTCCTAAAGATGGGGTTTCACCACGTTGGCCAGACTGGTCTTGAACTCCTGACCTCAAGTGATCCACCCACCTTGGCCTCCCAAATTGCTGGGATTATAGGCGTGAGGCACAGCACCCGGCAGGTAACTTCAAATTGGAAGGAGGCACAAGCTATTTCCTCTTCTTGAAATGCTTCTGTCCACCTCTTTATCTGGCTGTGTCCTTCTTTTTTTTTTTTTGACACAGGGGTTTACTCCTATCGCACAGACTGGAGTGCAATGGCACAATCTCAGCTTACTGCAACCTCTGCCTTCTGGGCTCAAGCAATTCTCCTGCCTCATCCTCCTGGGTAGCTGGAACTATGGGCAAACGCCACCACACCCAGTTAATTTTTGTATTTTTAGTAGAGATGGGGTTTTGCCATGTTGGACAGGCTGGGTTTGAACTCCTGACCTCAAGTGATCTTCTGCCTCCGCCTCCCAAAGTGCCGGGATTACAGGTATGAGCCACCTCACCCATCCTGGCTGAGTCCTTAACTGTAAATTTTCAGCTCAGGTCCCTTATTCTAGGAAGCATTTCCTGACCTGTTTAGGCCAAGGCAGGCAGATCACTTGAGGTCAGGAGTTTGAGACCAGCCTGGCCAACACGGTGAAACCCCGTTGCTACTACAAATACAAAAAGTAGCTGGACATGGTGGCACACACCTGTAATCCCAGCTACTTGGGAGGCTGAATCAGGAGGATTGCTTAAACCTGGGAGGTGAAGGTTGAAATGAGCCAAGATTGTGCCACTGCACTACAGTCTGGGTGACTGAGCAAGATTCCATCTTGAAAATAAGTAAGTAAGTAAGTAAATAAATAAATAAATAAATAAAAGACATGGAGCCATTATGACAATAAGAATAAGAGACAAGATGATAGGAACAGAATTTAGGAAGCTGAAATGCAGAAGGAAGAGTGGCAACTAACTCGGACTTAAAAAATGCTCAGTCCCAAGTCAGCAGTGGAAAAAGCTGAAAAGCAACGCTTTTTTTTGTTCTTTTTGAGATGGAGTTTCACTCTTGTTACCCAGGTTGGAGTGCAATGGCACAATCTCAGCTCACTGCAACCTCTGCCTCAGCCTCCTGAGTAGCTGGAATTATAGCCATGCGCTACCACGCCCAGCTAATTTTGTATTTTTAGTAGAGATGGTGTTTCTCCATGTTGGTCAGGCTGGTCTCCAACTCCTGACTTCAGGTGTTCTGCCTGCCTCGCCCTTCCAAAGTGTTGGGATTACAGGCATGAGCCACCATACCTGGCCAAGGCAACACATTTTATGCTGCGAAAACCCTCAAAGATCTTAGGGGTTGGAAGCACCAGGTTTTTCTGGAACTGGGGGCACAAGTGGGGCTGAAAACAAAAGGGCTGGCTGAATGTTTAAAAGTCATATTCTAAGAGCCCCTCCCTATCTGTGCAACCAGGTGCCAGCTACTTCTTTATCTAGCAGAAGACTGGAGATGTAAGTTTTGGTTTTTTTGTATTTCTTTTTTTGAGATGGATTCTTGCTTTGTTGCTTAGGCTGGAGTGCAGTGGTGAAATCTCATCTCCCTGCAACCTCTGCCTCCCAGATTCAAGTGATTCTACTGCCTCAGCCTCCTGAGTAGCTGCGATTACACATGCCCACCACCACGCTCAGCTAATTTTGTATTTTTAGTAGAGACGTGTTTCACCATGTTGTTCTTGAACTCCTGACCTCGGGTGATCCACCTGCCTCAGCCTCTCAAAGTGCTGGGATTACAGATGTAAGCCACCGTGACGGGCTGGAGATGTAAGTTTTGGAAAGAGGAAGGAAGGGAGGGATGGAGGGAGGAAGAAAAGAAGGAAAGGAGGGAGGGGAAAACAGCAGGAAAAGTGTTTTTAGTATGAGGAGTTTTGTTTAATGCATTTAGTTTGGTCATGGACAGGTGTTTTCACTGTTCGTATATTTGTCTCTAGGATGAAATAATTGAGGATAATCTCCTTTATCAGGTTATTAATAGTCTGTACAGTCTGTGATATCTCATTTAGGTTTATCTCCCCTTATTGAGACTGCAAGCTTCTATTAAGCAGGGACAATGTCTCCATTATCTTTGTAATTATTAGAAAATCCATGTACCCAGCCAGGCAAAGTGGCTCATGCCTGTAATCCCAGCACTTTGGGAGACGGAGGCGGGTGGATCATCTGAGGTCAGGAATTTGAGACCAGCCTGGCCAACATGGTGAAACCCTGTCTCTACTAAAAATACAAAAATCAGCCAGGTGTGGTGGCACATGCCCATAATCTCAGCTACTTGGGAGGCTGAAGTAGGAGAATTGCTTGAACCCAGGAGGTGGAGGTTGTAGTGAGCTGAGATCATGCCATTGCACTCTAGCCTGGGAAACAAGAGCAAGACTCTGTCTTTAGAAAAAAAAGAAAGAAAAAAAAAAATATATATATATATAGTTTGGGAATCTGTTAAAAAAAGAATGAAAACAAAAAAAAAGAAAATCCATTTGTTTAATTGAATTAGAGTTGTGATGTTCTTCCAAAAATACAAATAATTTCAGGTATAAAATTTTGTTCTATGCTTTTGCCATAGTATTTAGAAGATCCTAAACTGGGCTGGACATGGTGGCTGATGCCTGTAATCCCAGCACTTTGGGAGGCTGAGGCAGATCACCTGAGGTCAGGAGTTCGAGACCAACCTGACCAACACGGAGAAACCCTGTCTCTACTAAAAATACAAAATTAGCTGGGTGTGGTGTTTCATGCCTTATAGTCCCAGCTACTTGGGAGGCCGTGGAAGGAGAATTGCTTGAACCTGGGAGGCAGAGGTTGTGGTGAGCTGCGATCGTGCCATTGCACTCCAGCTTGGGCAACAAGAGCGAAACTCTGTCTCAATTAAAAAACAAAAACAAGTAAAAAAAAAACCTAAACTATGTTTTTTAAAAAATTTTTTCACTTAATACAACACAACAATAATCATTAACACGGAAGACCCCAAAATATGTGAGGATTTCTTCCCACCAGCAAGTAAGCAAACAATCAGTTCTGCAGCAGACACAAGCTGGGTATCCACTAATTTAATTTCAACTCTGTCTACCTAGAGACAGTGTTATATCCCACAGATTGAGGGCTCAGTCCCCAAGACTGTCTGGCTCTTCAAACACTAGTCATAAGTCTGGGCCTTCTGAGCTTCTGGCCAACCAGCTTCAAACTGGCGTTCCTATAACCCCCTCCTTGGGTTTGATTGATTTGCTAGAGTGCCTCACAGAACTCAGGGAAACACATTTACTGGTTTATTATAAGGATATTACAAAGGATATAGATGAAGAGATGCATAGGGCAAGGCATATGGGAAGGGGCATGAAACTTCTGTGCTCTCCCTGGGTGTACCACCCTCCAGGAACCTCCATGTGTTCAACTATTTGGAAGCTCCCTGAATCCTGTTGTTGGGGACCTTTTTTTATGTTTTGAGACAAGCTCTCACTCCGTTGCCCAGGCTGGAGTGCAGCAGCACTATCACAGCTTACTGCAGCCTTTAATTCTCTGACTCAAGCAGTCCTCCCACTTCAGCCTTCTAAGTAGCTGGGACTATTGGTGTGCACTACCACACTCAACTAATTTTTTTTTTTGGAGGGGTAGAAACAGGGTTTCCCTTTGTTGCCCAGGCTGGTCTCGAACTCCTGGGCTCAAGCAGTCCTCCCACCTCAGACCCCCAGAGTGTTGGGATTACAGGCTTAAGCCACCGTGCCTGGTCCTTTGGGCCTTTTAAAGAGACTGTTGGTTGTCCGCGATTGAAACATGGACAACCGTATCAAAATGTAATTGGACAAAAAGGTCTGATCTAAACCCTGCAAAGCCTGTCTGTTTAGATTCTTCTTGGCCTCTTTCTGTGGCATTCCTTCCTCCAGGGTATGAGTCAAGACCCTCCCTCAAATGAGGGTCTTATGACCCACAATCAGATTAGAGTTCTACCCTGAGCAGGTGAGAGGAGGACAGGAGAAGGTCAGAAAGAGACCCTATTTTTGAAGCCTACTTCTGAGTGCCCCAGAATTATAACACAAACTGTAACAATGGCTATGGGACTTATGAGCCAGAAACTTATGAAAACCTGCACACATACACACACACACACACACACACACACACACACACACACACACACATATAATATCATACATAGTAAATAAGTCGACCATAGTAATATGTAGAGCCAAATAGCCTACCATTTACTGATTTATGGTACTGTCAGGTGGTATGCTATGCATGTTAATATGTTCCTTCGATGTCTCATGACAAACCTTTAGATAGTATCCTCATATTCTAATAAAGAAATGAAGGTTTAATGAAATAACTTTCAATTTCATATGGCTCATTAATGGCAAAACTGGAATTCAAAGCCAGGTCCATTTAATTCTAGTGTCTAATTTTCTCAATGTACAAATATATATTTTTTTTCACATGGAGCTTCGCTCTGTTGCCCAGGCTGGATTGCAGTGGTGCGATCTCGGCTCACCACAACCTCCACCTCCCAAGTTCAAGCAATTTTCCTGTCTCAGCCTCCCGATTAGCTGGGATTACAGATGTGTGTGCCACAATGCCTGGCTAATTTTAGTATTTTTAGTAGAGACAGGGTTTCATCATGTTGGCCAGGCTGGTCGCAAACTCCTGACCTCAGGTGATCCACCTGCCTCAACCTCCCAAAGTGCTGGGATTACAGGAGTAAGCCACTCTACCTGGCCTCAGTGTACAAATATTAATACTTGATCTTCCTCTGGTTTATCATAGATGTGAATAAAACAATTATTTCCTGAATAATTCAATAAGCATTTTTCAAATACAAAAAAGCATTAATTATGTGTGTGTGACCTGTGGGATCTGACCTGTATATGTAAATATACATATAATGACACTTTGGTCAATGTCAGACCACATATAACATATAAACATCCATGTAAGCTTTTTTTTTTAATCAGAGACTTGCTGTGTCACCCAAGCTAGAGTACAGTGGTGCCATCTCTGCTCACTGTAACCTCTGCCTTCTGGGTTCAAGCGGTTCTCCTGCCTCAGCCTCCTGAGCAGCTGGGATTAAAGGTGAGAACCACAATACCCAGCTAATTTTTAAATTTTTAGTAGAGATGGG